TATAGAATGTACAGCATAGGAAAGGATAATAAATAGTGAAATATAATAGGAATAATATTTAGGAAATTAAACAAACAAATTCAAATAAGTTAATTTATAAAATAATATAACAATTATAAACAAAAATATAATAGGGAAAAAAAGAATAAATCATAACTAAATAATAACAAAATAGTCCAAATTTATTAAATACCTTGGTAAAAAAAACATCAAGAAACAGAAGAAGGAACTAATCATTATAAATACGATGAAGATAAGAAAATAGTTAAATAAAAAAAAAAATTAAATATTAGTGGAAGAAAGAATTTATTTTTAAAAATAAAGAGGTATTGTGAAAAAGGAGCTGGAAGAGTGAATTAAAAAGAAGATGAAAGACTAGAAAGAAAATGAGTTAAGTTGTAGGAGAATAAATGAAATATGATGGGTATTATGAGAAATATTAAATAATGAAATATAATATGAATTATAAGTTATAATGATGATTTATAGAGTGAATGTGAAATGATATTATAAATAAATGAAGAATATGTGACAATGGAGTGAAAGTGATTAAATAAGGAATATAATGGATTATGAATAGAGATAATGACAGGAAGAATAACTATACAAGAGACAGAAGAAATTATTAGCTGAACAATGTACCAAGAATAAAAAATTCTATGAAAGGAATTATAGCGTGTCAGAGTAGAATTAGTATAATTTTTTTGTATTGGTAAATTACGTTTTTATCTATTAGGGGGGAAGTTTTTTTTGTTGAAACAGATCATGCGGCTTTAACTACAATATTAAAAAGTTGATTTGAAAACAGTAGGATCCATAGATAGATATTGACTTTACAAGAATATGATTTTGAGAATGAGAATGGGGTCAATAGTTACATGTTAAAGAATGTGGAAGATGATAAAGTACGAATGGTTTTTCATATACAAGATTTGTACAAATATGAAGTGTAGAGTTAGGTAGTTATTTATTAAATTAGTATAGAGTTATCATTTTGAGTTAGAGTTGTTAGTAATTAGTTTATAATGTTTGGTTTAAATGAATAAAAAAATTGACGAAATCAACATTTCGGGTAGGAAAATTATAACCAATCAGGGAATTTCATTATTTGGATAAAATTTAAAATTTATTGTTTACAGTATACTGGGTAAACAATTAATTTGGGGGATTTGATATAGAAATTCCTGAAGTCATCAAATTTATGATCTAAATTGAACGATACTGGGGTGGTGAAGTATCTTGAAATTAAAATTTAAGTTAAAATCAAAATGTCGGGGTTTTTGTGGATTAATAAGAAATGTCATATAAAAAATTAGATTGTCAAGAATTGTAAGAGTTGTTAAGTATTTTGGATTATGTTAGGATTTTTAATTATGTTGGAAATATTGTTAGTTTTGATTAGGAAACCGTAAGAATAAAATAAAAAAAAAGGTAAACAAAGTTTTCTTTATTTAAAAAGTGGAAAATTGTGATATTATTTAGTACACTTATTCGAATCTCTAGCTTAGTTGCTGCTAAGGTACAAGAAGCTTGCCTTTTTGAGAATATGCGTCCTAACTGTCATCCCATAGCCACGAAATCTAGAAGGCATTCTCAACTTGATAATAAATTTATTAAGTCTGAAATCACAAAACTATTAGAAGAAGGAATAATTGAAGAAAGTTGGTCCCCTTGGAGAGCGCAAGTTTTAGTCACTTCAAACGCGAATAGAGGAAGGTATCTTGCCAGTTGGATCTCCTACAAAGATGAATCTACACTAGCGGACGAAGAAAATTCAAAAAGAGTTTCTACGCGAAACAGAAGACCGCCTCCTTACCTAAATGATTATATTAAGTAACAGAGGTGGGAAGAATGTGATATTATTTAGTACACTTCATAGTTCATGTAGTCTTATTATTTGATAGTAGTTTGATGTTTCCATATTTTATTTAATTGTCAGTCATTTCGTTCATTAAAGCCTTACTAAAGGTCTTTTGCGTTTATTACAAAAATATACAAAATCAAAGATGCAGTGACAGACAGGGATTAACAGAGCAAGGGCTGGTAGCATCAGAAACAGGTAGACGCAGAGACAAATACAAGCAAGACAGGAAAAAGAACAGGTAGAGGCAGGACAGATACACACAGGTAGAGATTAGCAGAGGTACAGACCAGCAGATAGAATCGAGCAGATAGGCAGAGACAAGCGGACAGGTAGAGGCAATAGAGACAAGTGGAGACAAGGAGCTAACGGGAAGAGAAGACTGAAGAATTTAAAATTTAATTTTTTCTTATTTATTAAGTTTGGCAAATATTATTTTTTTTGGAAATTTTTAGAGCCGAACCAACCACCTCTTTTAAGAGTCTGTGCAAATTTATAAAAAAATAATATACAGGGGGTTTTTATATATATAATGATGGCTTAAGTGCAAAAAGTAAATTTTACAGGGGAATAAAAAAAAAACAAATATACTTTAGATGTAATTTCGAAGAGCAACTTTTTGTTTTGGCGGGTGAAATTAATTTCGTTTTATACTGTTGCTTACGATAGTTTCTCACAAGACGCAGCTAAAACATACGACTCCAATGACGCGAAAAGCGATTTTTTGAAATTTTGTGGGTTACGACGTTTTGCACTTAAGCAAGCCATCGATATATAATTTAAGTTTTTGGGTTTGCAGCAAAACGATATGTATACTCTTATAAGTTTATTCCAGGCTTTCGAATGTGAATACATTCATCTTTAGGGATTTAGAATATTTATTAAAGGACAATTAAAATTGAATGATGAATAATTAATGTGTTTACTTACAACTTAGTGAGATTGGTTCGTGAAATAGATGAAAATTATTATTGTGATTAAAACTAGACTATAACTGAAGTAGTTCTGCCTTTAAACTATCTTTTTTATATTGGATGTTTTTATTAATTAACCATTCTTGAATTGCTCGTTTTTTCCATGATTGTTTCGGTAATGATTCTAAATACCGACTATAATATGGGGCATTGTCCATGACGACGACAGACCCAGGTTCCACAAGTTGAATGATGCCTTCAAACCATTTTTAAAACACCTCCGCATTCATCTCTTCATGATAGTCGCCTGTTTTCTTGGATTTAAATATTAATTCACCATTTGGTAAAAATCCACTGTCGCTTCCTATATGCGTAACTATCAGACGACTACCTTTTCCAGACGGCTGTTTTAACCCAGTTGACAAGCCTTCAATAAAAGCTTGTCGTGCACTTGTTATATGACCATCCTGCCATACTTTTTTGACCGTATGTCCTTGGTTAACCCACGTCTCATCCATGTAGTAATTTTTTTTTGATATTCCGAAATTCCTCAATTTTTCGGAGATAATTTCTTCTCCATACTATTATTTCCTGACGTTCAATGAGAATGCTTTTCCTGTCGACTTTTCCGTACGTAAATTTCATTTCGTGTAAAATTTTCCTCAAACTTTCTTTACTCATTTGTGGGACCAATTCATGATCGCTAACTGCCTCCAGAACTTTTTGCAAAGTGGGCAGCTCATTTCTGAAAAAGAAACTGTGAATAGTTGTGCGTATACTGTTTTTGGCTTCTTCATCAACTGTGATTTTTTTTCTTCCGCTACTAGTTTTTGGCGTTTGTACTTCCCCATGAATTTTGTTTTCTCTTAGTATTTTGTAAACTGATGATTTTGGTACACCCGTATAATCAGAGCACATATCAACTAATTTATCTTTTGTAATTGTGGAATTTAATGATGTTGGAACGCCCGGTTGGTTATTCGGAGGTACATCCGTAGAATTACAGCACATATGCACTAAGTTATCTTTTGGTCGCTGATAATCTCTTTCAAGACAGTGAAATACTCGAAGTACAATTTGTTTTTCACTTAGCGACCGAGACTTCGACCGTTTTACCTTTTTCGACGTTGAAGGCCCTTCAATGTCTTCCATTTTTTGCATAGTTTTAGAACGGTGTAGAAATATTATTATTTAATATTTAAACACTTATTAGCACTAATATTTTCATCAATTGTTCTTACAACACGTCGATTACTTACTAACTTAACTGTAAAACTTACAATTCACACCGTATAATTCAAAACCCGATGTTACGCTCGTGGTTAGAAATACACTACTGAGAACGTCATCGACGAGATGGATTTTACGCGTAACAGACAAAGACACAAATATCGCTCCGTACACCGATGCCATTAGTTGTAACAAATACTGAACAATCCATAAAATAATTAATTTTAAATGATCAAGAAATGTATAAGTATTACTCATTACTGATTTTTGTTATAATTAATATCTTTTATTAGTGCTATGATTGTATATTATCTATAATTTGCCACAACTTACAACTCTACTACTTACTCTATTTTGATTCTGCTAAAAACTAGTAAGGTAAAATTGAGATATGACAACACGGTTCACTCTCAATCATTATTTGTTTGAGTTTAGATATAAAATGACCAGAACATGTTAGATGATGCACTGAAATTATAAAACATTTTAAAATTATATACACTTTTGCAACTAACTAGTTTAGTCGAAATTTTATAAAAACTTTAAGGTTACAATTGAATTAATCATGTGCTATTTTCAAGTTCATGCCGCACGCGTCTGTCATTAAGTAAGTTTGCCAAAAAAGAAGAATTTACTTTAACTGTGTGGGACTAATGAGGTCCTACAGCCAATTATTTCAAAACGAAGGGGGTTGCATAAAGCTAATAAGACTTTATTCCCGACCACCCATAATGGTTGGTAAAGCAAGGATTAGACCAATAAAGTAAAATCAAAAATTCTGAAATATAATAGCATTACCACAAATAGGGGCCTCAGTATTGTGTACCTGGTGCCTGATGATGAAGTAGATACTTTAAAACCGATCGCTAATAAATTAACTGTGTGAGACAGATATCACTTTTTCTCCCACCTTCCTAAGAAATCATTATTGTCAAATAACAAACTTAAGATAGTGTTATATGGGAATTTAAATAAAATACTTATTAAATACATACCAGTAAATACGTTTTTATATGTTTTTCCTTTTTGAACAATTTACAATAAATGTATCCTACTGCAGAAACACACGTTGCACTTAAAAAACAAAGTAAGTGATATTGTAAGTTTCTTAAAATAAATTTTTTAATGGTTTTTCTTTCAAAATTTTTATTAAATATTGCAAAGTATCCATCCACAAAAATATACTTGAGTTTTTCGAAGTGCTCTTGTCTATTTACAGTTAGCATTATGGCACCTATTGCCCAAGAAATGTTTCCTGTTTTGACCTAAAAAATTTCAAATCGATTCATAATAAGTAGAAATAGAAGGCGAAAAAATGAAAAATAATATTCTAATTTACGGTTCGTAGATATCCGTTGCTAAGGAAGGCTGTGACGTCACGAAATGCAAAATCGAGTTGACAGAAAATATTCTGCTGCGGTTCGAACATTAGTTTTAAAAAAATCTAATATTTTATTAATATTTAGTGGTGTTCATATTTTTATTTTTGGACTATACACCTGCGTTGGAGTTTTTAGAGAATCAGTAATTTGATTTTTTAAAAGACGAGCCTAAAAACAGCATGGAAAAATTATTTTTATTTTGAATTATCAAGGGAAATATTATTCTGTGAATGGTTTATTTTAAATATTTTGGATAAGGGCATGGACTTCTTGCTAAATTCGGATCACACTTTGATTATATTCCGAAATATTTTTAAATTTTGGCAAGCCTGGAGCGAGCCATAGTTTTGGTGTTAGCAAACAATTTTTACTGTTTACACCAAAGACATTACAACTAAGAGACCAAACTGTTTACATTTTTATGTGGCAAATCATTATTCCTACCAGATTCTCGTTTATTGCGTTTTTGCCGGTTTTATCAGTCTGTAAAAATTATTTGGAGAAATTACTTTCGAAAAATAAAATTTGATGTATCCTATAACTATAATTTTATATTATATATATAAAAATATGTTTTTAATCAAATTATTTTTAAAAATTTTAACATAAGCTAATTTTTTTATTAAAAATCAATATTAATCTAAACAAAATATTAAGGGTTGCAAAGAACTCCATAAATACGGCAACGCTGAATATCTTATTTTACGAATTTACAACTAGTACCTATTTTTATGATTATTCAATCCAATTTTTCAGACAATTTACTGCAGGTTTGATAATACAATTTAAATTGTACAAGAAACTGTATCAAAATGTATCAAAAACTTGTGTAGTCTAAAACAGTCTCAAAACAGTTTTTAAAGTGATATTCCTTTTATAAATTAGTAAATTATTCTTATGCCAATAAATAATTATTGAATAGTAGCAAAAAAAATTTAACGTAAAATGTAGAATACCTTCAAAATGATTTACCTATTAGGCACCTATACATATTTTTTAAAATTCTATTTATGTTTCCGCAAGATCCTGAGAAAAGAAAACTTTGGTTTTCTCTAGTAGGGATCCTTGAAAATCAGCTCCTTCGTAAAAAGCCAGAGTTGTGTTCAGAACTATTTTTTTCTGAAGATGTGCAAATGGTGCTAAATATATCAGACACTAATAACTAAACATAAAAAAAAATAAATGAAATTTTAGTTAATAAAATTAGGGTATTTAATATTTTAAAACGTTATTTTAAATTTTTTTTCAGTTTTTTACGATATTTTTTGCCGTACCATGTTTCTTTGTAATTATTAATAAAAAAATTATATATTTTTGGGACAGTATTTTAGATTCCCCTACCTTCTTAATGTTAATTTAAAATTTAAATAATTTTGGTTAACATCTTAGATAAAAGAGACCAGAGATATAACATACACTGGTGTTTAACCTGCGCAAATGTTGCCAATTTCTAAAGAAAGGTTGACGGAGTGGGGGAACTGGGCAGAAACCCGAACTCTGTGACAGGGACCGGACTTTGTTTATTAGCATCATAATGAACTATTAGATTTATTTAAAATATACGTTTAATGGAATTTTGTATTATGAAATAAATTTAACGTGATTTTTTAATATCAAATAGATGCCACGACATTTTATGTAAAGAGAAGACCTTTTATAGAATATTTAGTTAGCTATTATTTACTACGGACTTTTCTGTAAGAGACTACAGTAAAATGTTGAAATAGAATATTGTTAATCGAGTAAGAAATGGTACTCATTGTCTACGAGTATTATAAAAAAAGCATGTGCGCAGGCGAATACTGCAAATCAAACCTTGTGAGTTGAATATTATATTTTTTCCACGACTATCACATAATATTAAAAATTAGTCAAAATGAGAAAATGCTGTTTTGTATTATAACCTCAGAAAAAGATATATTAAATCTTGTTTCTTTAGGACAATTAATTAATATATAGGATGAGTCACATAAAACTCTAGAAATGCATATGTCTGAAACCAGATAACATTTTAAAATTATAAACCTATTTAAAAGGCATTTGGTCGCTAAGAGTAGGTGATTATTGAAATAAATTATTAATCAATAATAATAATCGATTATTTTCGATCAATCGATTATTTTTCAAACAATCTATTTTTGTTCGTATTTCCTTTAAAATCGACTACTTGATTATCTTTAAAAAAATCAAAAATAATCGATTAATCAAAAATAATCGATTAATTAAAAAATCGAATAATCGATAAAATCGATTTAAAAAAAAAAGAATTATTTCCTTTAAAATCAATTATTCGATCATTTTTGAAACAATGAAAATAATCGCTTAATCGAAAATAATCGATTAAGGGAAAATAACCAATTAATTAAGAAGCCGATTCTACGATAAATCGATTTTCCAAAAAAATAACTGAATTATCGATTATTTTCAAATAATCCTTTTGTTTTCATATTTCATTTAAAATTGATTATTTGAAAAAACGAAAATAATCGATTAATAAAAACCTGATTGACCGATAAATAGATAATTCTAAAAAATAACCGAAATATCTATTGTATAAAATAACCGATTATATTCGATCAATCGATTATTTTCATATAATCTATTTTTCCCATTTCTTTTAAAACAAATTATTCGAGTACCTTTGAAAAATTGAAAATAACCGATTAAGCGAAAATAATCAATTAATTAAAAAGACGATTCTACGATAAATCGATTTTCCAAAAAAAAAAAATAACCGAATTATTGATTATTTACAAATAATCCTTTTCTTTTTTCATATTCCTTTTAAAATTGATTATTTAATTTTCGAAAATAATCGATTAATAAAAAGCTGATGAAAATATTCGGTAAATAGAAAATAATCGATTAATTTAACAAGACGATTAAACAATAAATCGATTTTTTTTAAAAAATGGATTATTTTCAATAAATCGAATATTTTGAATAAATCTACTCTTTCTGTAATTCCTTTATAATCGATTATTCCATTACCTAAAAAAACGAAAACAATTTATTGAAAATGTTCGATTAATCACAAATAATCGATTAAAAATATTCGATTAATTGTAACGGATAAATCGATTTTCATAAAAACGATAAATCTATTATTTTTGTAACCCCTATCGGTCGCATGCTGTTATCCGAGCATTCAGCTCCAAAATTTAGAGATTTGGATTTATTGATCCTGTTATCTTTGAAATCTCATTCGATTCTATAATAAATATTGCTAGAATTTAGTAATTTAGTAGTTTTTTTAGTAAACGAATATTTTTTTTTCGAGTTGTTTAGGGGTTTATAATGTAACATTTTACTAATAATATGACTAATTTCCGTAACTTTAGTATTTTTTTGCTCATCTTACGCATTTTACTTTGTTTTAAGACTTAAAGATTCAAATGTCGCTTCCGATTTAACCGCAAATAAAATGAACCTTGAAATTTTAAGTAGGTGAACCTGTATTTCATCAAATATTCTTGTACAAATACCTAATAAAGGGCTAAAAACCACCTTTAGTAAATATTCTTATAAAACTACTTTTTAAAAACAAAATTTCGTTTGTAACAATGCCTATTTACTTCTTATTTAGATTAAATGTTTAAAATTTCACTCTTTTGTAA